GTTGCAGTTCTAAGGGATGAGTGGTAATTATTTCGGACCAGCCTGAAATTTCAGGCCAACCTGGGTTAGAGCTAACTGTCTCTGCATGAGGTACCAGCTGTAACCTCAGGAGCCTGAATCCCCAAGTTTCTGTTGTTCATTCCTCCTTGCGACTGAGTTTGGGAGAGGAACAGTACGTAGTAATTTGCCAAAGAATATGCTTGCTCTTCCAAACAGAAATTGAGAGCTGGGAAACAGAAGAGGCCAGCTGGGGATCAGTTTAAGACAACCCTGCCCTTGCTTTGTGCTTCTTACTCCTGCCCTTGCTGTCACCCGTCACCATGTCCCAATCATACCGATTTCATCATTCACGCAGCCACACCATTAAGGAGATATATGAAAGAACCCCTTAAAAAAAAAAAAAAAAAAAAGAAAACTAGAAAAGATATGATGAAGTAGCTGTTCTGCTAGGGTAACTGGAGGGTCTGGGGCCCTCCATGGAGGGAGAAAGGGAAGAACAAGAGCAAAATGTCAAGTCAGGCTAGGAGCACTAATGCCAAAAGATATAAGCAAACAAGCCTGCATTATCAACAATTTGTTTCTTCTTATTTTTAAAATAGGTATTTTTTACATTCTGATACTTCTTAGATGATGGTGTAATACCTGTCCTCAGGTGGTCTGGTGTACACATCCAAGTGAAGTGTTTTAGTGATCAATCACCTCAAAAAATAGCTGTGAACCACGAGGCCCTGACTCCTGCAATTGTATCTGTAGCCAAAATTCCTGACCGAAACATGACTCACTCTCAGTCACATATTTTAAGAGGAAAAAAGGTATTAGTACAAAGAGTACCACTGAAAAAAAGACAAAAAGATGGATCCTTAAATTATTCTTGTAACAAATGACCATATATAAAATACACATTATAGTACATTTATCAAGAAGTTAAGAATATGATTTTGTACGGAGCCTGGCTTCAGCAATTTTGGAGGTGTTAATCTTTGCTAGAGCATTAAATGTCTGACTTTCCACTGCTGTTTCTGTATTGGGGCCTGTTCATAAAGCTAGGCTTGGAGATGTTTCCACAGAATGAGTCTATGATTCTTTATTTTCCCTACATAATGGTTAGGATAAAGTAGTATAAGGTAGAACAACTTTTCACAAAGTGTTAATTTAAACTCCTCAAACCTCAGCAGGTTCTGTGACTTCATTTATCTATTTAAGTAGCTGAAATTAGGAAGTCAGTAACAATAGCAAATCTTGCAAGTCGTTTGATTTTGGATCCCTGTTCTCATGTTAGGTTACTTTCCTGTGAAGCTTATGGGCTGGAAGATTTACTTCTGTTACTGTCCACAGTTAAATCCAGTACAGGATTAAAAATGCAAAGAAAACATTTCTCCCTGGTTTAAATGCTTGACCTTAATTTCATTTATTTGGTTAGATATCTTCTCTGTAATGACTCTGTTGAACAATATTAAGTCTCATACACTTCACCGATTCAAGTAATATGTAGCGACTTGTATTCAGGAATGTTAATTCTATCACCGAAAGATTAATCTGTTTTTAGTGGATGATGCTACCTCTCTCTGATCATTGAGTAAAAAAATATTGCAAATAATAAAATTCAAGATCAATTCCTAATGCCATTATGAAACAAGTCAGAGCTTGTGACATGGGGAAGATGGGTAATACACTTTATCTTCAGTCCTGGCTTTTTTGTCTGTGGATCTCCTTTTGATTCATAACATCCTACTTTTTTGTAGTTTCGTATAGTAAGTATACAATCTAGTCATTCTTGGTAACATGGGTTTAGACAAGAAAATCAACCTATTTTACATGTGGCCTGTTGGGAATATTATGTATGGAACATACGTAGTCACTTTTGCCTCTTCTTATTATATATTTTAAGAATTTCAGAGTTTGCTTATGACTCACATTTTTAAGATGGATGGAGGAAAACTACAGAATATTTTGACATTAAATTCTGGTCCTTGGGAGTGTAACAGTGATAACAACAGCAAAACATCAACAACATCAGCAACAAGAGTTACCATACATACACAGACAATGCATGGCATACCACAAATTTCTTGTGAGTTGTTAGTTTTCCACACCTCCTAGTTATATCAGTGGTATTTCATTAAATGTACTTGAAGGGAAATTCCAATTAAGTAATGACTGGTAATGCCCTCAGGTTCTTAAAGATTAAAATGATAACAGAAGTGGGTTGAATATTTGACATTATGCCAATTAATATTGGCTAATAAGAAAGGCCAATTGAAACAGTGTTGTGGTAGTGGTGGGAACTAGAGATTTCATTAAGGTTTCTAAGGATTCCTTTAAGTCCAACTGTTTTTAGCTGGGGAGTGTTCAATAATCTGAAGACATCAGCAGTACAACCCACTCATGTGACACCTATTAACAAATAGATGTTATAGGTGAAGTTTACCATAAGGATATAAGCAAATCTGTAGGCCGTGGGTGGCCTTAATCAGACTGTTTCTTTCTTTGTTTTTGCACCTGGCCCATTGTGTAGGTTTTAAAAGTAATGGATAGTATTTTTTAGAGAAAGTGAATCACTGCTCTGCCTTTTTTGCTGCTTGCTTTCTGGTATTTGGCAATGTGCTCATAGATTTTTATGTGCATAACATGATTGCCTTGCCAGTTTCACTTTGAATTCCTACAGCTGGTCACATACGTCCTCCTTCACACCTTTGTCCTCTTGCCATTGCATTGCTGTCTTGGCTAATAGTCCCTAAAAAGCATCCTAGTCATATTTTCCACTGATATTCTTTTGTGAGAGTCAAACTAACTTTCCAGAAGCCTTATTTGCTCTTGCAGTACTTAGTCTTGTGTGCCTCCAGATTTATGTCCATCACTTGTGTGCCCTTGTGCTCTCCTCTGGGTGAAGCACCGCAATATTTTGACAATGTTCTGATACCGGGCACTAAGTTAAAATAACAGACAACTCAAAGGACAGAGGGAATAAACCTGAACAGATAGGGGAAGAAGTACAGGTAAGAGATCAAGTTCTGCCAATTTAATGCACATCGGTATTCTCTGTACTACCTGAACTGATCTATGGCTGTGTGTGTGCGTGCGTGCATACGTTTTTCTGTAAGCCCAAGTTACATTTATGCTATGTGTGTGGTTTCTCAAAACTGAATGGTGAATAATGTCCTATGGTTTCATCCTAAAACATCAAAGCTCTCTATACAGTAACCACAGAAATGATCCACTTCCATTATACAGGGAATAAAGGTCAGAGCAATTTTCATCATTTTCCCTTTCTCTCAGCCTCCGAAATCAAAATCACCATGACAGCTTTCTGCAGCACTGAGCTTAAACCTTAAGTGGGATTATTTAAAAGATGTTTTACTATTTTTCTGCTGTAGAAAAATAATAAAGAGGTTGCAGCTATTACCTAAGACATATCACTTTGAAGGGACATTTGCAACACTTGCAGAAAGTGACCAGTCCTTCCAGAGGTGAAATGCAAAACATCCATCACCTATTTTTAACAGAAAAAAAGCTGTTATTTCGACAAATGGTAGTTCTCTCTTTGAAAGTAAGTAGGCAATGACCAGCGCAGGGTAAAAGTTATGATGAGGAACTGCAGCGTTAATATACTGGCTGAGAGTTCGGCTGCTATTCAGCCCAGTGTGTGATCTGTGCCTATCAGATCACCTTTTTTTTCGTCTCCCCACTATTAAGCTGCTGGCTCTGTATCACTTCTCTTGTGGCCAACTCAGAAGTTTAGGTAGCCTGTTCTCCCTTTAGCAAGGGGAATGTGAGCAAGAAGTGAATAACAGCTGTCAACAGTTGCTTGAAAAGGGGCAAATCCTGCTGAAGGTTCTTCTGCCAGAAAAATCTGAAACAGAAAATCTGTGAGGATCGTTTTAAAAGCTCTGTCTTTGAAGATGGGATGCTGTGCCATGGAAGGTTGTGATCACCACGTACAACACACCAAGTGAAAGCATTAGGCACCAGTGATATCTTCTACCAGGGGTATCGTAGATGGTTTTAACTGCAGAAATTTTGCAGGAGTAATTGGGTCAGCTCACTCTAGTGCCTTCTTCCACTGTGCTCTATAATTTTAGCAGAATTGTAGTAATTTTTCAAAGATTATTTAAAAGAACTTTACGCACTTGATGAAGGTTTTGTGGGCCTTTGACTAGCAGTATGATTTGTTCTGCTAAAACATGCTAACTTTCTGAGGAAAACATGCCTATCTGCCATGAATATGCATGTGGCTCTGTCTCTGTCCATCTTCCCTTCCTACAGAGAGATGTAACATTGATGGATTGGGAACTGGCAGCTGGAAGGAATTCTCTGAAACTGCATCTCATATAAATGAATGTATAAGTGATAGTGTGGCATAAATTGATTAAAGGAAGGAGAGCTTGTTCCCTCTTAGACAACTTATAGCGTGCTTGTTGGGCAGAATTTAGCATCAGCAAAGGTAGAGGGAATCAAAAGAGGAGGAGAAGGTGGCAGAACATGAATCTGTAAGACCAGTCTCTATCTAATATCCTTTCATTTTGGGAACAAAATGCCAAATTCTTTGAAATCCTTTTACCAAGTATTCTGTCAAGAAATTGTCTAGAAACAGTTGCGTAGGACTTAGGAGAACCCACAGGTAAATTGCATTAATTATAACACAAAATAAAACCAAAAACGAACTCCAAAGCACAATTGTTTGGTTGCTGCAGTGCTGGATCAATGTAAAGAAGTATATCTCAGTATTTAATAGTTCCTTAATCAAGGTAATAGTGAGACCAGTTATCTTCAGGGTCATCCTGAATGCAATCACACAGCATGTGCAAGAGAGACAGGGATTCAGGCCCGGTCAGCATGGGTTCTTGAAAGACAAATCCTGCCTGACCAACCTCATCTCCTTCTATGACCAGGTAACATGCCTGGTGTATGAAGTAAAGGCTGTCGACGTAGTCTACCCAGATTTCAGCAAAGCCTTTGATACAGTCTCCCACAGAGACTCCAGTCTTCTCCAGCTTCTCCAGTCTTCCTGGAGAAGTTGGTAGCCCATGGCTTGGACAGGTACACTCTGCTGGGTTAAAAACTGGCTGGGTGGTCGGGCAAAAAGAGTGGTGGGGAATGGAGTGAAATCCAGCTCACTAGAAGGACATCAAGGCCCTGGAGCGTGTCCAGAGCAGGCCTACAAAGCTGGTGAAGGGCCTGGAGCACAAGTCCGGTGAGATGTGGCTGAGGGAGCTGGGGGTGTTGCCTCTGGGGAAGAGGAGGCTCAGGGGAGACCACATTGCTCTCTGCAACTACCTGAAAGGAACGTGTGGGGAGCCAGGGGTCGGCTTCTTTTCACAGATAACTAGTGATAGGATGAGAGGAATGGCCTCAAGTTGTGGCCATTCCTCTCATGTTCAAGTTCAAGTTGGAAATTAGGAGACATTTCGTTTCAAAAAGAGTGGTTAGGCACTGGAACAGGCTTCCCAGGGAGGTGGTGGAGTCACTGTCCCTAGGGGTGTTTAAAGAAAGGGCAGGTGTAGTATGTAGGGACATGGTTTAGTGGGTTATATTGATGGTGGGCGGACAGCCGATCTCAAAGGTATTTTCTAACCTTAATGATTCTGATTCTATAAACACTGTAGCAAGACAAGGGAATAACACATGAGTAATAGAGGACAATTAACAATAAACGTATAAACCATCATTTGTAGAAATCCTATTCATAAATATTATGGTGTTCTAAGGTACATGCAACTTCTGCCTGAGATTTACATGTGCCTCAACACAAATAACATGCAAAGTACTGAAGATTTGCTCATTCAAAATAAGTGCAATACATTTATTCACATCTTTCCACTTGCTGCATTTGTTCCCCTCCTTTAATAGCCTTCTTTCAGTGCTCCCCTTAATGAGCATTTTCTCTCTCGTCACTTTCTGCTGCTACTGACCTTCTCCACATCCTCTCAGTCTTGCCACTCCTTTCTTCTGCTATTTCTTCCCCCCCCTTCCCAACATACACATTTTCCTGCTTCCATTTGCTGTCATTGACAGGCTCTCATTTACACCAAGGGAATGTGCTGCTTCCATTAGCCCATCATACATTTTTGTTGAAAACCCTGGATTTTTTGGTGCCTGTTTTAAGGGAAAAGAATGATCCTGTGGTTAAGGCACTGGGTTAGTATTGTTGGGTTCAGATTGTGTTTCCTGGCTTCCTGCCCAGTTAATGTAATATGGTGTTAGTGTAATTGAGAATAAGGAACGCCACACATGTAGAACTTTCAGCAAATCACTTAAACAAAATGCTTGGATGTCTGAAAGCTTTCTCCGAGGTATTCACCACTCTGCAATTCCAATGGGAGTTGAGGGCATACAACACTATGTAGGACACGTTCATCATGTTGAAGGATTGGGCTTAGTTCACCACCTGCAAAATGGGGCTAATTCTTACTCAGCTCACATAAGGCTTATGATGATGAAAACAATCTATTAATGTTCATTATGTGTTCAGTTGCTACAGTAGTGAGTGCCAAGAAATAATTCTCTCAGTAAGATGAATGCCAACTAAAATAATTTTGCTCTAATAGATTAAATTCAATGCAAGGTCACCAATCACCTTCCTACAGCACCCTTTATCTTTAAAATGTTCCCAACACGGAATGAGTCTTTGGAGAAAAAAATTAACATGAAAGTCCTGCCCAGTAGGGATGTGTATCAAAGACCAGTGCCACATCCCTTAAGCAGAGGAGTATGCCCCAGTACCTGTGGCCATAGCTAGACAATATGCTGTTTTTTATGAATTTTGGATGTCAGTTTTCATATTCCAGGTGTTTGCAAGGCAACTTCTGTTGATGTCATGTCAAATTCAGAACTGTACGTTCAAATTCACTCTTTGAAAATTACCTCTGGATTTAAGTACACTATTTTTATTACTAATACACTTCCCTCTCCTAACCCCATCTTTGCAGCCATCTTAGATATGTGTTTTTTTTTCCTCTCCCTTTTTCTATTTTTTTTTTCTTTTGAGTCTTCTCTTCGTTTCCCATATCTTTTCCTTCATTTGCCTCCCAGTAATTATTCTACACAATGGCCATTTCATACTTTTCATCTTCTTTTCACTAACATCTTTAACTGGCAGCTTAGCTGATATGATCTCTCTCCTCAGTGCAAACTCATATGAGTTTGTTTGGAACTCACTGTATTTTATAATTTCCTTACCTGAGCACAGAGGATAACTTCCATTTTATCAGTTTTTCTGTTTCTCTTTAGAGCACTGGATTTACCTTAATGTAATTGAAGCTCCATTTTGAATGTAGGAAATGGAGTTTGGGCACATTTATGATTTTCTGTGTATGCTTGAATATCTTGCAGATGTAATGTAATTTTTGCAGAAGCAGGGTGTACCTCTCAAGTGTAAGAGAGTGGCAGAATTGTAACATCCCTCCTTTTCTTAAGAAAACTGGTGACATGAGATATTTGAAATATATGGTAGTGATCCTTTCCTCTTCACAGGTGGCAGAGAACTGGAAGACTGTGGAACAGCTTAATCATGACTTCATCCCATGAGAACTATCTGAAGTTTCTTTATAAAAGTGAACAGTGCACAGACTGCTGCTCCAGTCAGGAGGAGCTGGAGAGACCAGCTGGGGTACAGAAGACCATGCTGACAGAAGTCATAGGGAGCAGTAATGCCACAGGACATTGGCAGAATGTTCACTGTAAAGGGTGCTCCACAGACCTGCCTGTCAGTGCCTCCAAAGGATGATGCTTCCTGTAGGAAGCCTAAACAGTTGTTTCCTATATACATAGAACAAGCAGATCATTATACCCTGAGAACACAGGTCAATGAGCTTTGTCTCCAAGCTCTTGAATTTTTTTATTGGCTTTGATTTTTGAAGCAGTCACAGCCAGATTCTTCATATGCAGATCCTTACGCTGACTTGGATAGCCCACCTTGCAGAGAAGTAAGGGAGAAGCTGCAGTGACACACTTTGGAGCAGGTTTCTTATCCTTAATTTCTCTGTCATTTTATTTTTTCTCTTTAGAATATACAGCACTTCCAAATTCGTGTTGCTCAGTGAAACTTACTGTTTCATATTCAACTCAGGAATTGTAATTTTCAGAACTATAAAAGTGTCATAGTTCAGATTAAAAACAAAACAAAAACAACAAACCAGCTCCTGCAGTGATCCTGACCAGGAGACCTAAGAGGCAGTGATCCATGCAAGAGTTAAGCTCAGTGGGTGCAGGCCTGTGCTGTGCTCTGCTGTGTGCTACATATCCAGCGTGGCAGTCAGGCTGTGTTATTTTGCATAAATCCCTTGGTCACAGGATAAACTCAGCCAGCCCTTTGTGACTGAGGCGTCTGCAGGCAGCTTCCACTTGGCGCAGTTGTTTACTCCACATGCATGGCCTTGCCTTTACCTACAACTGCAGCAAGACTTTCTCCTGTGAATATTCTTTCTGTTTGACGGTAGAAATGATGGAGTTGTTGGCTTTTTTTTTTTTTCCTCTTTTCTTTTTCCTGTACAAAGATCCTGTAAGAGCCTGAATGACCATCTTCTATGGAGAGCTTCTCCCTGGTGTGTTGTGCATTGATGGGATGATGCTACATCACTCAGGGTTCTCAGCATCAAAAGGGATAAAGATGTTATTCTCTTACAATGTTAGCTTCAATAACTAGCATTTTATATGACGACTTACAGTATCTGAACACCTTTCCTATGGCGATCATAATGGACCAGCACTTCATGGTGCAAAGCAGCTCCTCCCTTGCCCACACTCAAAGGAAAGCAAAACAAGACAGCAGCAACTTTTGTCCAGAAAAATGTACATAAAAACCTGGGTCATATTACTCGATGTTTCATTGCTGAGTTGTTTTAATTGGTTTATTTGGAGAGAAGGTTGGAGGGCGGACTTCATATCTCCTAGAGTTCAGGTTCTTCCTTCCCCAGATAATGACTATGACTTAGATCTTCCTATCAGCAAAACAGTACCTGCACTTTGATCCAGCACAGTGCCAAGAAATGCTGTCAGTCTTGGCTGGCATTATATTTAATGGGAACTGGATGTTAGCAGCATGCTGCCCTTTGATATGTTGGCTTGGAGGTGTTACAGCACAATAGGTAGCACCACGTTTGTGACCCAGTCTTTGAAAGACTGAGGATCTATCAAGTGCTACTCTTCTGCAGCTACATCTCCCGACAGGCTTTGAACAGCAGAAGTTTTGTGCAGTCTTTGGTGTCCTTGGCTGTGTGCACAAAGGCCCAATACTTTGGCTCAAGTTCTCCTTGTATTATCTTGGCAGAATACCCAGTCTTCAGGAATCCTAATCTTTTATTTAATCACTTCATCTTTTCAATTTCATCCCTTTCCTATCCTAATTCTTTTTTTCTTTTTTTTTTTTTTTCATTAAAGCCAGTACACAAAGATCAGGCTGGTCGAATGTGTTCTGTAGCTGTCAATCAATAGGCACAAAAATACAAAATGTGAATAGTTAAATCAGCAGACTTGCTTGCTGGAGTTATCTGCATGGCAGAGATGTCAGAGTATTGTTTCCAAGCCTGACTTCTACATGCAGAGAGTAGCCGAGCATGTCCTGGCCTCTTTTATCTTCCTCAGGAGAGCAGCCAAGTGGCATAATCAATTCTTCCAGGCTTTTGTCTTTCACCTGATGTTTACTTTGCTCACTGCCTAAGGCTTTGTTGTTCTTCTGCCCCTTAAAATGTATTTACTTTCTGATGTTATGAAAAGTAAATGTAAGTTTTGCATGATGATATATATATATGTTATTAGACTATATCAACACAGAAGCAGGAGGTTTCTCCTTTGCTCAAATTACTGCAAAAGTAAACTCTCCTCATTCATTGAGAAATAGTCAGGCAAACAGAAAAATTAGTGGTAAAAAAGTCCAAGAACAAGGAATAGCCTTCTTTGTACAAGCTAATGAGAGAATTTTAGTCATGCAGACAGTTTTGATGAGCTCATTTTATGGGTCTGTGGTATATATTATTGCACCTAACAGAGGTCAAACATTAGAGATGTGACTCTTCCTGCAGCTCCTTGTATTAAAAGAAAAAAAAAAAAATTAGGACTGAGAAACCCATAAAACATTTAAATAAATGCAAGATGATTTAGCTGGCACAGCCACAGCACGTAAAGCAAAATTGAAGTCAGAAAGAAGAACAAGCTAGACTTCACTGTCAATTGTTTTGTTTTCTCACTGATTTAAGTTCATAGGGCCAGGGTGCCATAAGAGGATAATGGTGACAATCATGACAAGAAAACCCTTCCTTTCATTCACATCACTTTTCTTGCAAAGTCAAAGTCACAAATTTGGGTTAATAGACAGACAACATTTCTTCAAGAGCAATACTTTTGTAAAGTATTTATTTGGTACAATCATTCAGAAAATAACAAGTATTGCTAGTGAAATAAAAGGCTGAGCCGCTAACTGACCAATGATTAAGAAGGCAATCTGGTATGGAAGATAAAATATCAAATGTCATGAAACAAATTTTTGACGGTTTTTATTCAGTGCCACTAATGTCTGAGGACTAAGTTTTTTATGTGTGCTGTGTTTCATATATATCAACTGCAAATGGAGCTTCGAGTACAGCATGAAATCAGGGCCAGGCCCACAATTCACATGGAAATACCTGTGTTATACACACCTACAGAGGTGCCCAGTTAATGAATAGAAATAAAAATTCATAATACACTTTTTACTGTACTTATTGTGATAATAAAACTCTTACAGTGCTTTGTCAGTTGGTCATTTTTTGATGCACTGTTTAAGTTTTGTTTTCAACTGCTTTGGATTAAAAGGCTTACTTTATACACCTGCACATCTATCCTCAAGGGAAAGAACAGCCTACCTTACGAAGGAGTACTTTTCCAATGCTTCCATTGGAAAACTTTGGTGGAGGAGAGTGGAAATGTAAATTTGACCTCAAATATTAGTTGATCAAAGTTAAAATTTGTTTTCAGAAGTTATTTTTGATAGGCTGTTATTTCTAAAAAGGGGAGCAGGCGCAGATAAACAGTGAAGGTTAGAAAGAGTATGTTGTAAGCAAGAAATGGAATAGCTAAAAATATGAAAACAATGCAGTGGTTTCCCTGTAGTTATGCTTACTTCAGAAATCCCTGTATTTGGTCTTAACTTTGAATTTCCTCATTTTCACGGGTGTTAACAGATTTTTGTGACACACTCTGCGAATGCAGCTTTTTCTAGTATTTCATTTTTGGAATACTAATACTGTATAATAGTGCTACTGTAATGAAGGCTTTTCTATTGCCAGGATGTGAAAAGTTGTGTGGCAATGAAATGTGATAGATATATGAAGTATTAGTCCAAGAACTAATTATTCATGGAGCTTTAAAAAAGATGTCTCCTTTTAAAAACAATAGTCTTGAATATTGCATGTCTAGCAATGAAAACATCTATACATATAGATTCAACTTGCAAATATGAATAAAAATCCCCAATTCCTGTGTGACTTCTGAAATATAGCCAAAGAATATTAAGTATTATTTTTTCTCCAGGATTTAAGTGCAGAGAAAGGATAAGGAAACAGTAAGCAAAACCACTCAACAGAAATTGAAAGTGGAAAAAGAGGATAAAACATATTCCCTTGCACTGTTTGCATCAAGGTTTGCAAGAACCCCAGTCAGTTTTGAGCAGCCAAATGTGGGCCAACGAGAGGAATGCATGCATTTATGCAGCCCTTATTACCACTTGAAATGCGTTACTGAGCATGCAAAACCATGCTATTGACTACTCTTAGCATAAGTCAATATTTACCTCTTGGGCCAATATATTTAAGGTATTCACCCAAATATAAAGTCAATTAGATCTAAGTATTGCTACACTCATTCATCCATAATTGTTCAGAGAATGAGGGTAAAATTGCCCTCCAAAACATTAAATAAATAAATAATTCACCTTTCCTCATTTCTAATTTTAAGTGGTGATAAAAAGCTGAAAATGCCCAGAAATCTCACACAGTACAGATTACCAAAACTTGTTTGTAAGGGTTTCCACTAACCTTGCAATCAATATGGAAAGCCATTATAACCAAGGTGCTTTATTTTTAAAATTCTGTATAGAAGGACTTCTAATAGTCTCTGCTATCAGAATAACTGTCCTGCAAGAATGTAGACCATCCTTTTATTGGTTTCAGTAAGAAACCATCTGATTATTTCTCAAGTGTTGGTGAGTCTGTATTGAATTGAGACTGCTCAGAGGCCTCAGCTGATAGGCATTGAAGGGTCCTAGCTCTTCCCAAGGAAGGAAATTTTGAAGAGTATCTTAGACATAGAGTATACAGATCCTTTCCTATGAACTGTTACTGCAGTGGTTGGCTGAATAAGTCTCTGTAGCTTCCTTGTGCACTAAGAGGTATCATGAAATATATTAATGAGCATTTTAAGGGCTCCATTGCTTTCTCTTGAGCAGTAACTCAAATGATTTATTACAAATAGGAAAAGAACATTTCTTGTTTTGAGTGGCACTTTAGGATGTAATTAGCACTTTTTTTTTTTTTTTTTCTGTGAAAATAAACAGACAGAAAAAGAGTGTAGCCTATGCCTACAGTACAGCAAAAGTTAGGAGTGCTGTTTATGTGAGGATTCCCACTCCTTACAGAGGAGCCATTCAGGTTTTAGCTATGAATTATCACGACAGCATGGCTTTCAGCATCAGCTGCAAAATTTGCAAATGGGCTGGGCTGCAAGGTTGTTCTCAGCTCATGAGCTCGTTTAAATCTCGGTGAGCATGGCACAGTTGTATTGAAATGAAGGGCTAGGCTTACACTTTCAGCCTGGATGACACATATAAGATTAAGACTAACAATGAAAAATGAAGCATCAAAAGCAAATCCTGATGAGAGGAAAGAGCTCACTCTGCTTTCTTCTGCTCTAGAATTACAAAACAAAAATGTGCTGCCTCAACAGCAGACATGAGGGAGCTCTTATATTTCAAGTTGTAACATGCAGAAAACAAGGCACAGCTTTTTCAGGAAAACCCTGTGGATATAAAACCTTATTTTTAATTACAGGACGTAACAGCTTTTTCTGATAATAAGACATTCTGAACTTAAAACTGAGACAGTCCCATTGTGAGCTTGCATTTTTACCACAAAGCTTAAGCCCAACATGACAAGTCTAAGCTTGTCATAATGCATGTCAGCTTTTACACTACATTTCCTGCCTTTTATCCATTTGTCATAACCTTAAGGGCACCCCAAATGTCATTTTAATTAACAAGATTTTCCTTGCTCTTTTTCTGATAACATTGTATTACAATGAAATGTTAATGGGAACAAATCTAAAAGAACCCTAATGGAAGACAGCAGCTGTACCTTCCCAGTTTCAAAGGCCGTGCCCAAATGCTTAAATAATGAACACCAGAAGCCTAGTGGGAAAGCACAAAATAATGTTTTTTATCAAAAATTAAAGGGAAGTGAGGAAAAAAATAAATAAATAAAGTTTTATGTTATTTGCAGCATAGCTTTTTCCAAGGTAAGTTTTTCCAATCCAATAAAACTGAAATTCTCATGAGCACACTGGATTCTCCCTTCAAAAAAAGACAAAAATGTTCTGGCGGAGAATGTTGGTGTGCTATTATTTGTAATACATTCCCTTTTCTGCAGACAGTTCTCAGAACCAACCATTCTCAGTTCAGCCAAGGAGGATTACAGAGGAAAACACTTTCTAAGATGTCTCGGAAAAGGATTGTGAAAGACCAAGGACGTGTGTCCATCCTGACCAGGACACCTCCCTAGCTCCCTGAATCCAAGATGTTCTCAAACCTGGAACACCAATAAAGACCATTCTATTTTTAGCAGTAGAAGGCTATGGGGACAGTATTTTTAAAAATGATTGATTGAAGAGCCTATGTTTGATTTTCCACATTGAAAAGGTCAGAGGTTGGACTTGATGATCTTGAGGTCTCTTCCAACCTAGAAATTCTGTGATTCTGTGATTCTGTGAAAACAGGTAGTTGTGGGTTAAAGTCACATAAATATGCTCCAAAAAAAAGGGCCAAATTCACTTGGTGGCTTTCAAGATTTTCAGGGTGGTTTTCCCCCATCTGCATTTCTATGGCTGTTACATTGTTTCTCATTTTTTATTTTTTATTGTTGTTGTTGGTGGGTTTTTTTTCTTTTTTTCTTTTTATTTTTTGTACAGACATTATTCCACTAACAGCAATGGTGCAAGAGATTAATCCACTAAAAATATGAAATATTTTCATTTTGAAACAATAGAAGTATTTTAAAGTATATCTCAAAACATATTTTACATCTATTCCTCATACAAAACTATGATGGAGCTCATTTACACATTTAAAATTTTTGTTTAGAAAGAACAATCACAAAATCTTTGTCAGGCAATTTTCTGTTAAGAGTGAAATAAATTAGAAGTGCAAAAAAGTTCACAAAAAATACTTTTTCTACTCCATGAAGTCTATTAATAACTCATTTCCTAATTGCTCCTTATTTAGGGGAAATGGGTAGCTGCTAACCCAAATGATGCCATGAATCTGGCTGTCAAATCAACCTATATCGTATTAAAGAGGATACTAAAGCTTATTTAGAAACTCATTAAAGAGAACTGCTGGAATTTGTTGTGTTATTCTGATAAAATATTCCCTAGACTCAAGGAATTGCTTTAGTTCATGTGCTTTGAGTTATTCCAATCACCGTACTACTAGTGATCATTGTAGACACATCTTTGCTTCCTAGAGCTTTTATGTACTTCCTTTATAAAGTGGATAAAAATATGGAAAATCAATACAAAGATATTTTCAGTGATTTTTCTACAGTTGCTCCAATATTTACATTTGCTATGATCTGGGATACTTTGAAGAATTAAAAATATATATATCAAATAATCCATAAGTAAAACAACATTGGACAGAAAGGATAACTGTTGGGAAAATAACATATTTAGTGGGTGTTATGAAAGAGTAATAGCAACAGTGTATTTGAAATCCACTTTTTAAAGCAGTTTTATATCTGTGATATGGATTTGCCCATGTAGGCTTTTATAAACTAGTTAAATCTAAAAGCTGTCTTTAAAACAAAATGAGGCTTTAATAATTGGTAGGTTGGTAGAAATAAAGATGTGGTTGTCCCTGTGTTGTACAATAATGGAAAAAGGACTACAGATTTTAAGGACTGTTCAATAAAAAACAGATAAAATGCAAATGAACACAACAAAACCCAATTTACAATCAAGTCTTGAGAGTATTCGTTTTATTTAATGAGGATGCTATAATTCCACAAGAGTCTAGACATAACATTTGAAAGCATTTAATTAATATGTTATTGGTTGATAAAATAAATCCAAACCTCACTCCTTATTTTTGACAGTTTTTAACAGTTTAACTTCTGGAAAAGTAAGTTCAGAGGAACTGTACTTTCTTTTAAAAATTCCAAAAATAT